TGATCACCCTAGTCCAGGTGTGGGAGCACTAGTCCACTTCCTTAGGGATGGGCTGGCACCCTTCCTCAAATGGGGGGCCATTCAACACTGTGCCCCTGCAAATAGCAAAGCTAGCATTGGAGCTAACTCTGCCTCTGGGGTGCATTCTCCTTTGGGGAAAGGCTGTCTGCAGTCAGTATTAGTAGTACTGAGTTGTAATCCCTCTGGCTCCCACTTGGAGTGGACAGGGCTCTGTGCAGTGTGGACATAGCTCCGTGCAGGCTCTGGACCAGCACTCAGCTTTAACAGACCTGCTGGTCTCCAAGTTTGGCTGCCGATTACCTCCTGTCTTTGCCTTGGCAGTAGAATGGGAGCATTTCTTTATTCCTCTGTGAAAACTATGGTGTGCAGGAAAACATCATCTAGGCCCTTGGCGCAGTCATGGTTTGGGTTATCCCTCAGCCTTTGTGACAGCCTTTTCCGGAATGCACTGTCCCCTCCACCACTGCAGTTAGAACCCTGCTCCTACAGTCAGCAGATTTCATTGTGTTCCCATTTCCTACCCACCCAGTGTTCCTGAGACATTGACTTTTATGCCTGTTTAGTTAAGGCCACAATGAGTCAGGTTACTTTTTCTTCAGGAAATCAGTACCTCAGTGCTCAGTGGTTCTTTAGTTCATTCACTTTATGTGTGTGCTTGAATTACCAGTTTATTTTTGTGAATACTCAGGACTTTTTTCTCCATCTTTTAAAAATCTCACTTAAGTACAGCATTTGCATGGTTCTAAAGTAAAAATTACAGAAGGTAGCCTCACCCATCCCCCAGAAACTAATCTCCCTCACCCATCCCCCAGAAACTAGATTCATTTCTATTGTGTGTATATTCCCATCTCCTACATCACAAATAACTTGCATAGAGCTGCCTATCAGATGTGGAGGCGCCCTCTGCTGCTGCCACCTGTGCCTGGTTCTCCTGATCGCTGCAGAATCCTCCACTTAAGCTGCGTTGGCCATTGTAGGCTTTCTGTTTGGGAAGAAAATCTTCAGGTGTTGTCGGGAGGGGTATTGTTGGGTCTAAGGACAGTGTGAGGGATTGCGTTGGATCGTTTAGTTGGCTTCTCATGGGTACTCCCCCCAGGTTCGGCAGTGCTGCCCAGCCCTTTCCCTTCAGGCCAAGGGAAAGCGTCAGAACATTTCTGATTTTTTTTTTTTTGCATAAATTTAGGTGTCCTGTATATCTCTTTCTGTAAACTGTTCATTTCATATGCCCTATCTAAAAGGTTTTGTTGAATTACAGTTGCCACACCACATACCGCACATTGATAAGTGTTAGGCTTTTTGCACCCATGCAGCCGTCATCACGATGGTAAGGGCATCTGTGACACATGTCTTTGTGCCTTGTCCTCTCCTTGGGCAGTACTAATCCGCTCTCTGTGGAGTTTTATGCTTTCTAGAAAATTATGTAGATGCAGTTTGTTCTCTTCTGTGCCTAACTCCTTATCATACCTGTTGGGATTTGTTCCTGTTGTACATGTAGCCATAGTTCATGCCTCTGTACTGCTGAGTGTCCCTGCACTGTGTAGTGATTCATTTACTGTTTACTGAGCTCTGTACCTCTTGATGCCTTTAGAGATATTTCCAATTTGGTTAAGTTGAGAGAAACCTGCTATGAGTGTCCACATGCAAGGCCTTCCGTGGTAGCTGCTTTCATGTCTCTTGGTTAAATATAAAAAGGGGAGACTGAGTTCACATTTAACTTTTGAAGAATGTGCCAATCTGCCTTTCGTAGTGACTGTCCTGGGTGAGAGTCCTTTTTCCTCCCCACCCTTACCAATAAAAAAAAAAAAATGATGTTTTCCATGTCAGCAGCAGAAAAGCAGTAGTGGTCTGTGGATCCCATGTTATTTCTCTGTGTATATATGTGCTTTTTGTGTTTCTTAGTGATATGTTTGGATCTTTGGCCATTTGTTGATTACATTGTTTGCTAATTAATGAAGTTTGAGAGCTCATTCTATATTCTTAGTATAAGTTCTTCATCAATGTGAAATGTGAAGATTTTCCTTCTAACCTGTCACTTGTTTCATTCTGACATTTATTTCTGGAGGATAAAAGTTCTTATCTTTGCCCTTTTCACTATTGGGCTTTTTCTTCCTTGATTTTTTTCTTTTTTTTTTAGATTTATTTATCTATGCATATAAGAACTGGGGTACAGGCCAGCGCTGTGGGGACTAAAAAGGTTCAGTAGAGACAGAGTGAGGAGCAGAATTGGCAGATCTACTGAAATACATTGCTGAGGGGAGCAATGGGCGAGAGAGGAGAGGTCTGCTGCTTCATGTGGATCAGCTCCCTGGCTGGGGATCAAACCCATGCTGCAGTGGCTGTGGGCAGCTTACTAGTGCTGTGCTTTAACCCCCTAGTGCCACCAGGGAGGCCCCTCTTCCTTGATTTCTAAGAGCTCTTTTCTGTGCTGTAGCTATGATCTATTTCCTTCTTCATTTGTCACTTATGTATTATTTTGCTATATGGTATGGTCTACAATACAAGAGCTTTATGTAGTCATATTCCTCAGTTTTCCCTTTGGAGGGACATCTGTATACAAAATCATAGAATTGCCCCACATTAGGTTATAAAGACATTTAATATGTTTTCTTCTAAAACTTCTGTGACTTGGTTTTTATATTTAGATGCCCAATCAGGGATTATTTGGGAGTGGAAGGCACAGGCTGGATCCAATTTAAATATTTTCTAAAGCTTCCCAGTTGTCCTGATAACTGAAAAGGTTCTGTTTTCATAGTGGTGCTATCAGAAAATGTTTCTAGTCTTTCTCCTGATCTGTGTCCAGGTGAAAAATGTACTGTTACCACACTGCTTTAAATGCCGAGGTTTTCACATCTATACTCTCTGGGGGTGCTAGAGCCTTTCATTAAGCTTGTGCACAGTTTTCCCAGATATATTTGTATGTTTATTTTTTCTATATATTTTAGAATCATACTATTTAGATCCAGAAAAAAAAAATGATGCTTTTATTGGGGTTTTGAAAATTATATGTAAATTAGGGGGAGAAAGACACATTGGCCAGGTTGAGTTGTCCTGTCCAGAAACAAGGGCTATCTTCTTTTGTTCCAAGTAGGTCTGGTGTTTTGAGCATGTTTTGGTTTCTCACAGCAGCCAAGCATGCCCCCAGACATGGCTATTGGTCTAGGTCGCAGTGGGACCTCTCATTGACACTACCTGCTCACAGTATCTTTGCTAGACATGGAGCAGGAAGTACTATGGTGGCATACCTTCCCTGGTACATGAGTGAGGCCGAGCCCCCGTGAGCAGGCAGCAGTGTGACTGGTGCCCAGCAGTGTGGTGCCATCCAATCCAGACCTGTGACTGCCAGCACTTCTCTGGGCATCCTTGCTTGTTCCATACCTCCCTTCCCCAAAACACTTAGGGTCCTGTGTAAAGTTACTAATACTCCTCAAACTCTGACTTATAAAGAAATATCCCACTAGCCTGTTATTGTCCCCTCTGTCCCATCCCAACTTTGTGGACCTGTCTGACAGTTTCAGCAAATGAGGATCTTCAGAGGACACTCAAGTTCATTGGTGTCTTTCATTTGCTCCAGGTTCCTGCATGACCAAAACAGCTCAGCTTTCAAATTCTATCGCAAGAAAGTATTTGAGCTGTGCCCATCAATTTGCTTTACATCATCTTCGTTGAACCTCCACCCTGGCGAGGACACCGAATGTCAGGAAAGTGCCCTGGACCCTGGGGAAGAGGAAGGAGAATCTGAAGATGAGCCGCCCCATCAAGAGGCTGAGCTGGAGAGCCCAGAGTTGATGCCTGAAGAAGATGAGGAGGAGGAGGACGAGGAGGAGGATGAAGATGAGGAGGGGGGTGAAGAAGCCCCTACTCCTGTAGGGACATCCAGACTGGGAGGTGCTCCCAAGCCTGAGGGTAGTCCCCCTGCTGATGGCTTCCCTAGTGAGATGACTGAGGATGGTCCAGCAGGTGCACTTGCCCTATCACAGACTGCCTCGGGGTCCTGCTTCCCCAGGAAGAGGGTCAGCAGCAAGTCACTGAAGGTTGGCATGATTCCAGCCCCCAAAAGGCTGTGTCTCATCCAGGAACCAAAAGGTACGTGTTTCGTGGGATGCTGGACCCCTACACAGACTCCACAGGGTCAAGGTGCTGGGTGGCAGTTGAGAGTAGAGCGCTGGACTGTTGTGAAGAATTTTTTTTTTTAAAGATTTATTTATCTGTGCATACAAGAGTTGGGGTGCAGGCCAGAGGTGTTGGGGGTGAGAGGGTTCACCAGAGACAGAGTGGGGAGCAGAACAGGTAGGTCTACTGGAATTCAGTGCTGAAGGGAGCAGCAGGCAAGACAGGAGAGGTCTGCTGCACCTTGTGGATCAGCTTCCTGGATGGGGATTAAACTCAGTGCTGCAGTGGCTACAGATAGCTTCATAGTACTGCATTTTAATCCCCAGCACCACTAGGGAGGCCCTGTTGTGAAGAATTTAGCAACGCTTGGCTGCTACACAAAATAGCTGGCTAATTTGTCACTCCTGTCTATCCTAACACCAGCCTGGACGTTACTTCCCAGTCTTATGTTTTTTTAAGATTTTATTTATTTATGCATACAGAAATAGGCCAGAGGTGCAGGGGTGGTGAAAGGATTCACCAGAAACAGAGTGGGGAGCAGAAGAGGCAGATCGACAAGTACACTGCTGAGGGGAGCAGTGGGTGAGCAGTGAGGAGTATAGGTCTTCTGCGCCATGCGGATCACATCCAGACCAGGGATTGCACTCACACTGAAGAAGCCATAGCTTGGCTTAGCTTTGCATGAGTGCACCAACCCTCTGTGCCACCAGGAAGGGCCCATTTCCCAGTCGACTTAAAGCCGGTGCAATATGGCATTCTATGTGCTTGGCTTTAGCCTAAAACCATCGTGGTGGTTGAGCATGTGAACCTCCATTCCATTCAAATCATGGCCAGGAATATGTGGTTGGGTTAGTCTGTAGCTTTTGTACCCCCATACTGTTGGTGTTTGCACTGTTGCTCAACATCCAGTGGAGAACGGTAGCCTAAAGGGACAGGACAGATTGTCTCAGCCGCTTTCTGCCTATGACCTTGTGGGTGCCTGACTCTGAGCTCCCTGAAGATCTAGAGGAATGATATCCTACTTCTATAGTGATGAAGCGGCAGGAGGACAACAACATGAGACTGGTCTAGGTTGAGTGCCCCCTGCTGTGCTTGCTCTGACCATAGAAGGCCATCCCCTGCTCATTTGGGAGAGGGGCCAACAGTTGGGGTACAGCAGTAAAACTGCACATTTTCCATTGAACGGTTGGTGGAGTTATGTGCAGGTGTGGCCCCACCATTGCAGTAGACTGGAGCCATCCTTAGAAAGTGCCTTTGTCCCTCTGTCCCCTTCTCACGCACACTGGCTACCACTGACCATTCTTTGGCCTTTTTTACTCTTCTTTCACTGTTAGTGGGATTACACTGTGTACAACCTTTTGTGATAGACTGCCAGGGGCCTGGATGGTTCCTGTGCCCCTATCCACCCAGGTGTCTCCGCACAGCCAGATCTTGGCTCTCTTTAGCACAAGACTGATGCTGTGAAACTTGCATGTGAGGCATTGTGAACAGCGCCCCTCTCTTGTCACCTGTGTATTATACACTAAGACTCAGGTTCATTCCCAACTGTTGGTGTAGTTTCTACCCAGGGTTTGTGTTTGTGGAAATTGCTAACTGTTAAACCCCTTCACTCCTCAGCACTTGTCTGGCGCTTTGACAGTGATCAGAATACTGTTGAGGGTGCCCTTCATGGGGAATAGTGAGGTTCTTTATTTAGGAAGCTCTCAGTTCTTTCATTGAGTGGATGAAAAGACAAAACTACACATCTCCCGTCATCAGAAATAATAATGTGAATCAGCGAGCAGCATGTAATTTTTTTTTGGAAAGTTATGTGTGGACTTTTTGTATTGATGGAATAGTCCCAGGGATCTTAGGAAGTACAGATTGCACAGTTATTCAGCAAAATGTGTGTATCCCATCATGGGAAATGATCCATGCATGGGCCCTTCATTATAACCATTCAGATGGATTTTCCAAGTGCAAAGTGACCACCCTTGGTTGCACCCACATGTTCAGTTTCTGCTGAGCCTCTGTGGGCATTAGGTTCCTGAGAGGCCTTGTGGTGTGCTTATAGCTACTCTGTAGGCAGCGGGACAGTAACCAAAACTGCAATCTGCATATACATGTCTTACTTTTGTGTCTTCCAGTTCACGAACCAGTTCGTATTGCCTATGACAGGCCTCGGGGTCGACCTGTGTCCAAAAAAAAGGTGAGCTTGATGTGATGTAGGACTTTACTGGGCTCAAGCGGTCACTGTGACCTCGGACTATGTTGTATCATACCCTAGTCTGGGGTCAGTTTATAAAGCATTACAAACATCCTTTTCTCCAGGGACTACTTTTGGCTTTGCTCTGCAGGAGGGTGGGAATTAGTCCATTTAACAAGTGATTGAGACCAGGGTGGAGGTGGTAGAGTGGGAGAAGGTGCAAAGTTTGAAGAAATGGATGAGGTACTGTCTCAGCCATAGAGAAGTTCTTTGATTATGGTTAAGAGGGTCCTGCTTTGCTGGCAGGTCCAGCTCTTATGTATTCCTCCACATTCACAACCCCTGCGCACCAGGCCCTCTCTGCTCCCAGAGGCAGCCGTGAACAGGGCCTCAGAATAACAGAAGTGAGGGAGGGAGGGGTGCTTTAGGTGCAGAGAAGCAGTTGATGGAAGGTGAGGGGACCCAAGCTCACATAGTCCCTGCAGATGAATGACATCAGCGCTCTAATCACTTCTTAGGGAGAGGCCCTCAAGGACCATGGTGGGTGCTCTGGGGAGAAGATATGAGAGTTAGGATGGTGCTGCCATTGGCTGAAGTGGGGAGGCCTCCTCTGGGGTATGTCATTGGAAGGAAATAGAGTGCACTACATATCGACAAGCAGACACTTATGGGAAAAAGTGAGCTCACCCAGGACAGAAGATTTCAGATCCTTAGAGATCAGAAAACTGAATGAGATGCTGAGGCAGAGAATCAGTCTCAGCCCATTATGAGGAAGAGGAGATTTCCGGTTCCCACAACTTGAGACGCAAACTAGTGTACTGACTTTTAAGTCAGCACCCAGATACCCATCTGTGATCTGGCTGAGGGGCTACTCAGTGTAAATTGGGAGAGCCACAACTGCCCTGCAGGTAGTGAAATACCCTGAGATTCGAAGGAAACGTGTGAACCCCTGATGTACTGCACAGTCAGGTCTCCAGAGGCACCTGCACACAGGAGGAGGTGTCCAGCTTGCTCCCTGGCTTCCAAGCATGGCTTTTCTCCAGCCCCAGGACATCAAGGTGACTGCTAGAGACAAATTGAGTACCCAGAAGGGCCTGTCCAGGCCACGCTGCTTTCCCAAAGGGATGCAGCCCTGCCATCTGAGACCCATGACCAGTCTTTACCTTCCCCACCTTCTCTGCGACAGGGTGGCATGACAGCAACCCCAGTGTCATCTTAGTGGGTGTGAGATGACATGCCCGTCTCTCTGATGACAAGGGGTCTCAAGGCTGGCAACTCCTGCCTATCACTCCCTAGCCCTTTTCCTGTGCACAACTGTTTGTCCCTCTTCTTCCCCAGGTAACAGCATGACACCTTCCTGAATCCTTGTCTGCCTTGCTAGATACCCTCAGGCTTATTTCAGCCACACCAGTAATTTGTATGCACGCATGTACATATACGGACACACATGCACAAACTCCTTCACACCTGAGGGTGCACTTCTCTACATATGGATGAACTTGGTTGTAACTTCCTTTCTAAGGGAAGACTATGTAGTGGAAGGGCCTGTGCAGATGATCAGGAGGCTTTGAGGTGTCATTCAAGCCCTGCAAGGGCAGACCTTTGTATTAGTTGCTTCTCTGCAATTGCTTGCACCCTCTTCTCTCTCCTCAGAAACCCAAGGACTTTGACTTTGCCCAGCAGAAGCTGACTGACAAGAACCTAGGGTTCCAGATGCTGCAGAAGATGGGCTGGAAAGAGGGCCATGGCCTGGGCTCCTGCGGGAAGGGCATCAGGGAGCCCGTCAGCGTGTACGACAGGCTCTGGGCGGGTGGGGGGTGCCAAGGCTTTCTGTGGGATTCTGGCCCAAGACCTTTGACCTGTATCCCAGTTCTTGGTTCCCATACATTGAGCATGGCTTCAAACTGGCAGTTTTTTTCTCTTTAACAAAGATAGTGTTAGGTGAGATGAGAATGATTGTTTACACATGCAGTTCTTGTAGACTCAGATTGGCTTTGTGCTTGGGCCACATTGTCAGAGTGGTAGTTCTGGTTAGTTGCATCAACAGCCACTTTCCCTTTTCTGAGACACTGAGCAATTAGTGAAACTGGGAGAACATGGCCGGGGTTTAAGAGTTATTAACATCCAGCAGGCATTTCATTAATACCAAACTTAGTACCTGCTGGGGGGGTTTTGCTGTAAGTAGGGCTCTGAGCACACCCTCAGGTCTGCATACTTACACAGGTGAGTACCCCTTACTCCCCTCTGTTGTCATTGTGTGTCCTCTGGTGGCCAGACTCTGGGCTTGGTGTCACTAACACTCTCTTTTGCCCCTCAGGGGAACTGCCTCAGAAGGGGAGGGGTTAGGTGCCGATGGACAGGAGCACAAGGAAGACACATTTGATGTGTTCCGTCAGCGGATGATGCAGATGTACAGACACAAACGGGCAAACAAATAGGTATGCGTGTAAGCTGTGTGAAGGCATGTGCCTGAGCTGATGTTTCTTCCCAAACAATTAGTGTTCCCTATACCCCAAATGCCACCAAAAAACATCAAAAACTTCTGTGTAGGAAATAAAAGGAGACTTTGGATACAGATGTGCCTTCCTCTCAGTGTCCAGGTTTGGCTGAAGGAGTGAGCCCCCATACTCCCTAAGCATAATTCTGTGCCTGTCAGCAGGGCCTGGGAGCAAGGCTTTCAGGCTGGACCACATGCAGCTGTCCACGCAAGTGGCCTTCCATCCTGCAAGTGTAAGGGTGAACTGGAGGGTGACGCTTTCCTAACTCCCTTTCTGAGGGTCTTCAGATTCTTCTCCTTCAATTGACTGCGGGTATATAACCCATCATCTTTCACCTCTCTTTTTAGTTGCCCTTCCCCCCGCCATTGCCAACTCCATTTTGAACAGAGTCATTCTCTCCCTGAATAGATCAAAACCATTGGTGAGAAAGATCAGGCTTGAAGCAGCAATTACTCTTAAAACATCAGCTCTGCCCGGATCTGCCCTGGAACCAGTGCCCACATACGGTTTGGTGTGTACCAAAAACAAATGTCTGCAGTTTCTGGTGTGGATTGTCCTCTGACTTTTCTTAAGAGAAAGAACTCATTTCCAATCTGCTTCTGCCTTTCCCCTCACCCGTGTCCCTTTGCAGTGGATCCCTCTGGATCTGCTGTGACCCTTCACAGGCAGTGCTGCCCAGGAGCACACCAGGGCTCTCAGCGCACAGGAGCCAGCCATGCAGTCTTCCTAGCCAAAAGTCTCTGACATGCCTTTAAACAATACAGTTAGATCTGTTGTCTTATTCTCTAGGATGTGAGCAGGATAGAAATGGGTAATAGCTAACTCTATGCCCTGGGACCACAAATGCTGGCAAGAGCACTGAAGCCCCTTGAGCAAGGGAGATACTCAGTTGACAAATGTGGTATTTATGAAGTCTCTTAAGTACATCCCAAGAGACTTAGACATATTTTAGCAGCAGTATGATATAGTTGATTCAGAGGGGAGTAATTGTTAAACTATGAAACTTTCCAGGTCTCTTGGAATCCACATAGCAAACTGCAGTTTGATTTCTTTTACCCACATATGGAGTGTCTGCTGTAATGGGGGGAGGGGTGTGAACTTCTCAGGACTCTTCATTTGCTGCACGTGTGGCAGTGTAAAGACTTGTTTTATTAGAGCCTTTGTGCAGAGCAGAAAGCATCCTCTTGGGGTAGGCTCCGCAGCTGTTTGCTATTTCAAGGCATATGATTGCCACCCCTTCTAGCTTCTTGAAGCAAACATACGGAATCCTTGGGCTTTTGGAATCTCAATCCTCATAAAGCAGCAGTGTTGAAGTTTTAAATATGTGCTAAAATTTGGAAAACTTGGGACCCTGCTGATAGGGAATGCAGCAGTGGGTTACTGTCTCGGCTGCTCTTACTGGCTGTTAAGAAATCCTTACTCTCAAAGCCACTGGCATGCCACTGTCTTCTGTCTGGTCTGTGACCTGAGCCCTTGAGCACAGGCCTCTGCTATCTACCTTTTCAGGAGCAGCCTAGGAACTCTGCTTGCTTCTGGTCTCTTCCATTTGGCAGTCAGCACATCTATATTGCCTTGGACCTGACTCATGTTCAGGGGTACGACGGTTTTGGGGAACCCTAGCTATGGGGCTTATCTCCTCTCCTCTCCTGATTCTTCCTATAGCCTTTTATGGTGTCAGGGGTCAGGAACCATGGAATTCTTAGAAGGGCCTCCATAGTCTTGAGCAGTACCCTCAGCACAGGTTCTAGCTCTTTCTCTGGACCATAACTCTGTCATGTTTGCTCTGTTCTCATATGTTCATTGTTTACTTTCTCCACTTTTAAAAGTAAGATACTTTAGGAAATCTTGGGGTATGAACCTTCTCCCGGCAGCCTCCTGCCTTCCCTCTTCTTGGGGGCACTTGCTTTGCACTGACAGTGAGAACCTTTGGCAGATGTCAAAGGGAACACCTCCTTGAGCCTGCAGAGTCCTTCCAGCACCAGATGGTGCCTTTCCTGTGGATTGGACAACCAGGTGGTGAAGGCGCTGCTGGGAACTAGGAGGCACGCCTCTGTCCTCCAGCTGGCTGTCAGCCAGGGCCCAGCGCACTGCCCTTTGCAGGAGCCTGGTGCAAATATGTGTGTGGTTGCAAGACCTTGTCAAAGTCACAGTGTCTTTTCTGTCATTCTAGTTCCAGGGTCTCTTCCGTGAGGACGACAGGCATCCGGAAAGTGCTAACTCACCACTTTGGGTGCTTACTGTCTCTGGCTTGTTTCCATCACTGGAAATCACATAGAGAATTTTAGCATTTTTGGTCCTTGGTAAAACTTAGAAGACATTTGTGATGTTACAAAATGAAAGTTTTTGGGTTTTTTTTTAATCTCAGAAGTTGTGAATGTTGTTAATCACTTAGCAGTTGCAATAAATGTAGTGGAAACCCAATTTTCCATGATCTCCTATTGATGTGTTTTGAAAACCAGACCAGTCTGGGACATGTGGTAGGTGTTACGAGGGCCATCATGGAGCTAGATAACATGCTCTGGGACCTGCTCTCTGCCTGCCTGGGGACCTCACTGACAGATTCACCCCAGTCACCAACCATACCTAGCTTTTTCAGAGAGCAGATTTGACCAAGACCAAGCATAGTGAGATCACGTCCTATTGGAGAAATAGGTGCTGGGTGTCAGGATGTGGGAGTACTGCTCTTTAAGACTTCCCCATTGCCAGGATCATGACTACAAGGCCCACCAGGGTTCCCCCCAACTAAGGAGCTGGTCCATGCGGTATCTTTAACTCCCTGCAGCTCCCACATGCTGTGATCCCTTCACCAGCAGCCCTTCGCCTGGCCTGCGGTGAGGAGTGAGGCACAGGACACAGTAACTGAGCCAGCCTGACACCCGTGGACCTGACAGGGCCCCCACTTTAGCATGGCATGACAGGAAGGAGCCAGGGCCCCTTGGGACCTCTCCTCCCCGCTCTGTCCCCAGGACACACAGGAGTGGCAGGGACCCAAGACCATGGTCTTCCCATACATTTGCTTCCATCTTCCAAGAGGCTGGTCTCTACTGTCACTCATTTCCTGAGAAAGTCCCCCATTCCCTCCCTGGAGACTACAGGTAATGCCATCTCAGGCCTTAGGTTCCCCTCTGCAGTTGGATGATTTCGTTTGGAAGAAAAATTTCCTCTTCTTTGTCATTCAGGACTACCCACTCTTGTCCGGGACGGCCCTGCCTCCCTAGTCTCTCAGCACTTAGCTGTGTATGCATGTGCGTACACAGTCACCTGTGCTTAATACATGCTACATGACTGTTAAAGCAATACATTTTTTTTTTTTTCCAAAAGATGGGGGAGGGCCCTCCCTGGTGGTGCAACGGGTTAAAGTGCAGCACTGCAAAGCTGGCCACAGCTGCTTCAGTCCAAGTTCGATCCGCCCTGGAGGTGAGCCACATGGCGAGGCAGACCTCTCCTGTCTTGCCCACTGCTCCCCTCAGCAGTGTACTTCGTCAGTCTGCCTATTCTGCTTCCCACTCTGTCTCTGGTGAATCCTCTCACCACCCCTGCACCTCTGACTTGTTCCCCAGTTCTGTATGCTTTAAAAATAAATAAATAAAGATGGGAAGGAGGGAAACAACCTAGATATGTAGAACAAACAGCAGTTTCCCCCTTCTCATGTCCTCATTATCAATAAAGTGAAGTCAATAAAGTATCACACCAGAAACTTGCTTCCTCACACACTGGAGGTCCTGCAGCCTCCACATGGTAGACTCCCAAGTGAATAGCGGCAGCATATTCACACAGAAGACATTACATGTGTGTTCTTGGAAAATACCTCCCCACCCATGGTACTGGGTCTGGGATCTGTGAGATGTATAAACAGGCATGTTCTACCTGGAGCCCTTAATGCAAACAGCACGACCACATTCTATTCTGTGGTGACTACTTTTTCACTTAAAAATGTACATATGACTATGATGGACTGTTACTTTCCCAAACCTGCCCCTGTAGCCACAGGGTTGTTGCTAAGTTTTGGCTCCTACATTCGAGATCTCTTTTGAAAAAACCCAAGGGATCCTCCCCACTGTCTTCCACATTCCTGAACCTTTCACATCATTTTGGCTGCAGCTAGCTGGTGACCACATTAGCCCAACTGTATGTAAGGAGCTATTACCCCAGGAACTGCAGCTGCTGCCACCGCTACCCACCTCTTCTCTGTACTCCAGGTTCCCCCACCCAACAATACCCCAGAACATGTGTTGTAGAGCCCTCTCTGGTGGCACAGCAGGTTAAAGTGCAGCGCTGAAGCACGCTGCAGCTGCTTCAGTGCGAGTTCGGTCCCTGGGCCTGGAGCTGACCCGCATGACAGTACAGACCTCTCCTGTTTCACCCGTTGTTCCCCTCAGCAGTGTACTTTGTTGATCTGCCTGTTCTGCTCCCCACTTTGTCTCTGGTGAATCCTCTCACCACCCCTGTACCTCTGGCCTGCACCCCAGTTTTGTATGCATAAATAAATAAATAAACAAACAAATAGATAGATAGATAGATAGATAGATAGATTAGATAGATAGATAGATAGATAGATTAGATAGATAGATAGATAGATAGATAGATAGATAGATAGATAGATAGATAGATAGATAGATAGATAGAAAGAAAGAACATGTGTTGTAGAAGCTAGCAGTCTAAACCTGCCCTTCCTGTTGAATTCCCCCCCTCAGCACCAGTGGTCACCTGTTGCCCAATACAAGGGAATCAAGGCTGGTGTGTCCCACAACCCACCCTTCCTGAGCCATAGACATGGGACCCTCCATTTTTCTCAATGAACTGGGATGCACACTTGCAGGGTTTCTGCAAGACCCTTGTGGAGAGATTTAGGGTTGATGTTTGTTCATCCTGTGTACCCCTGTCCCTGGGCCTCAGCTTCCCCACCTGCAAATTGGACATCCCACCTGCCCATGCCTGCCAGCTTGATAGCAGGGCCATATCTCAACAGCCCCCTTTATAGAAGGGTCCACCGAAGAGAAAATTGTCATCCATGTATTGAGGGAATGCACAATTGAGGTGAGAAGCCAGGTGACAGTAATGGGACTCTAGCCACTGACCTGCCAGCAATCCCAACCCCTTGTACAGGTGGGGAAATGGAGGCGCAGAAAGAGGCTGCACAAGAAGTTTGTTTCAAGCTGGTGGTGTGTGGCACAGCAGCAACCTTTCCAGCCAGCAAGTGGAGCTCAGACATGAACTCTGGGAACAAGGTTAAGTTCCTACTCTTTTTTTTTTTAAATAAAGATTTTTTTTTAATTTATTTATGGCTATAAGAACTGGAATAGGCTGGAGCTGCTGAGGGTGAGAGGATTCATCAGAGACAGAATGGGGAGCAGAACAGGCAGGTTGACTAAAATACACTGCTGTGGGCAGGGGGCAGCAGGCTAGAGGAGAAGTCTGCTGCTCCATGTGGGTAGCTCTCTGGCCCGGGATCGAACTCATGATGCAGTGGCTGCCAGTCCATCAATGGAGATGATTCTCCACCCTGCCCCAGACTTGTGTGACCTCCAGCACTTGCCTTGCAGGTCCTCCTCCAGGCCTGTACCTGACCACCCTGGACCGATGGAGTGTCCTACTGACTGTCTTAACCAGAATGGGACTTGAAGGCTAGACCCCTAAACTCACCACACAGGCGCAAAGACACACCCACATGCAGTCATGTGTGCATGTACGCAGATGTTCGTGTGTACAAACACGAGCTGTGCATACACAAATCACACACCTGGGCATGCACAGACATGTGTACTTCCTTTCTATCTCAAGTCCATCAAGGCTCTGGGAATCTTCACTCAGGAATTCTAGCTGACATTGAATCTGACTGGAGCTGCTTCCCCACAACCCCAGAAGGGGGACCTCATGAGCTAAGCTCTGCTTTGCTTGACTTCTCGAGTATCCTCAGTGGGACCCAGGAGAGCGCTGCCTCTAGTTCCTGCAGTTCCAGGATTGAGGGGTGAGGTTTCACTTCTGGGTTTCTGGCCCATGACTTGATGACTTGCTTATACGTAGAGCAAAGCGGAACTTGAAGGTTTGAACCCTCAGTCTTAACATCCTCCTTGCGCCTGGGGGTGATAATTCACCTCTCTGAGCCTCAGTTTCCTCTCTTATGACAAGAGAGCAGTTTCACCTGCAGCAGGGTTGTGAGGATCAGTCCTAGGATTCCAGGAAGCTCACGATGTCAGTAGTACTGTGCCATAACCTGTCACCGAGGCTTCCATCCCCATTCCTCCTCCTAAAAAATTGTTTCCCAAGCCCTGACCTAGACCTGGTGATGTGATGGAAGGGCCACAACAGTGCACCTAAAGAACTCACTTCAGCCCTGGTGGCCCCAGGTTCCTGATTGGTAGCATAAGGACAGTCCTCCCTGGTGCATTAGCTGAGAAGTGGGGCTGTGCAGGAATTCAGAGGAAAGAGGTGCACACACTTGACAAATTCCTGGTATCCCTTCATTGACCATAAGCCCAGCTGACAACTAGGGCTTCCCTGTGCTGGTGGGATGGCACACCCTTGCTGGAGTGCCTGAAGATTCCCCAACCTTTTTCTGTGATAAAAGATTCACATAACAAAATGCACTATTTTAAAATGAGCAATCTAGAGGCATTTAATATATCCACAATGTTGTATAAGCACCACCTCTACTTACAGAACATTGTTACCCCAAAAGGAGACCCTGTCTCCATCACCCCCCACTTTACTTCCTCAGCCCCTGACAACCACCAATCTGCTTTCTATCTATAGATTTGCCTGTTCTGGATATTTCCTAGAAAGACCACCTTGGGGCTCTCCCTGGTGATGCAACAGGTTAAAGTGCAGCTCTATGAAGCTATCCACAGCCACTGCAGTGTGAGTTCATCCCTGGCCAGGGAGCTGACCCACATGGTGCAGGCGACCTCTCCTGACCCACCCACTGCTCCTGTCAGCAGTGTATTTCAGTCAATCCACCTGTTCTGTCCCCCACTCTGTCTCTGGTGAATCCTTTACCCCCTGCACTTCTGGCTTATGCCCTAGTTCTTGTGTGTATAAATAAAAACTTAGAGAAAAAAAAAGGCCACATTGTGGTCTTTTGTGTTGTGTGTGGTAGTTTCTCCTTAAGCATCTTTCCCACAAACATTTTTTTGCCACATAACTAATTGTCCATAAATCAATTTT